AAGATTATAGCAATGCTGCTGCTGCCGGATGATTGCGAAAAAAACACACTGGGACCCCGTGTGAGCCACACGGCGCATTAAAGCCAAATAAAAGCACGCGTGCTGATGTATGGGATTTAATCATGACCACGTGCGCCCCTAACACGTAATAGAAATGTAATTGCGCAACCCTTGCTCTCCACTGCGCGATATTCGGTGCCGGGTCTCCGTGCTCGTGCCAGGCTAGGTGCTTCTGCCGGCCGTGGCTCTGCATTGCGGCGATGAGCACGTCACGGCACCTCTGTCAATCCACTGCTGGATGGCGGCCTCCTACGCACGCCGTGTCCTCTCCCGAGTGTTTCGGCTCGGGGTCGCGCACTGTGGTGGGAATGCAGCGAACCTGAGTTCGATTGTCGACCCCGGCTAACATCAACGGCAGGTGATACCTATTCCCGGTGCTGACACCACCCTCGGCACCTCACGACCCCCGCTCCTCTTCACCAAGCCGCACTGAGCGGCGTGGTGAAGCCACGGCGTCGGGATGCCTTCATTATATGCAGCGGCGAAGCGGCAAACGACCGAAGGTGATAACGGCAATGACACGAACCACGACGACGTTCCGACAACGTCCCACGCACTTCGCGGGAGGGGAAAGCATCGGCTCCGATTGGCTAATCTCCTGAGAGCACACACACACAAAGATAAAGATCCCCCGTATAGCCTTAACAGACTGTAGGGGCAAGTGCACCTATGAAGGCCGGAACGGTACACGAGGGGGTGGGTGGCCAGCACCACGCCCGACCGCCTTTGTCTCCCCAGTGGCGATGTTTACACACCACACCAGGTACTCATTTAAGGCTGAGTCGACCTAGGGGAGGCCCAGGACCGGTTCAGATAATCGTCACTGATGTTAGCCGTGAGCGGGAATCGAACCCGGGTCGCCAGGTTCACAGCGCAGCGTGCTAACCGCTACACTACCGCTCCCCATATACACGCACGCACGTACACACGCACGCATACACGCACGCACACGCGTGGGAGATGTTGGTGAGATGTGGAGCCACGCACGGACGCGCGCGCGTCTCTTGAGCGGGTCCCATCGAGCGAGCGAGCGAGTGACAGTCTGAGTCGCCTGTCACGTCGCTCCAAAGTTTCTGCTGTTCTTCCTCGCCTCTGACGCAGGGAGACGCCGCTGCTGCCACGGCTGCTCGTGCGCTGGAGAGCAAATTCGTCCGGCCGGCCTCTTCTCGAGACAACAACAACACTCGTGGATAAATAACGGATCACGGTAAACGCGGGGGGTCACGCACAGCAGTGCAACGTGCGGGGTTTGCCTGCCGGAGCAACACAAAAAGCGACACGCAAATGTTCTCTCCTTTTTGCAAATTGACCTCTGCTTCGTACTCACAATTGCACACAAACGTACGATCGCTTTGGCCTGAACATTGGCCAAGGTCCCGAGTTTAAACACACAGAGTACTAACCCTGCAGAATCAACCCATGTACCTGTACATTCCCTACAGCGACGCGAATTATTATATTTATGCTGAACTTGGATCATCTTTATTTACAAGGGCTGTTGTACTTCTCCCCCCTCACCGCTCCCCCTCCCCCACCTCCCTCCCTCCCCTTATCCCTCCCATCTTCTCCCTCCCCCCACAGACAGATGAACGGAGCGAAATAAATGTGTGTTTTTTCAGCTGTAAAGTGTTAAATAAATGAAGGCACTTTGTTGGCAGAAGTTGCCAGCCAGCCAGGGATTATTTTCAACCGGTTCTGTCGGAGTCACCGACCGAGAAGTTATTCCCGCACCCGGTACACTACATCCAGTATACCCGGTACACTACATCCAGTAGACCCGCCTCGCTACGGCTGCTAACCACGCGCCTGCACTGCAGTCTTACCAGCGATATGGAACACAATATTGAGTGAGAGTTGGAAGCCCTGTCGAACACAACATTAGAATAAAATCAATGTCTCTGACCCCTTCCTCTGTTCGATTAAAGGGTCATTGGGTAATTTCCCGGCACGTGACCCAACCATTGTAGATATTTGTCGCGACAGTCAATACAGACCCGGGCTCCACGTTAATGCTCTGCTGGATGAGCGCCTCCCCACGCTCTGTCGATCGTCATAATTGTTTGACCATACTTCACCACTCTGGTCAGTGCGGGTTGGCGATGGCGGGAAGCAGAGACGCGAGAGCGTAGAAGCACAGCACAACAATGGAATGTGCTGCGTTGCCGTCTATTGCCCACTACGTAGCCCCGCAGCCGTCGATGGCAACCCGTTAGTGCCGGAGAGATGTGGCTACACGGGCACGGCACGGGCTGGAGAAGAGATGGACTGATGCAGTCCAGGAGGATGTGGAGCTGAGTGGACTTGCCGATGACTGGTACCAGCGGTGTCAACATCGCCCTCTGCAGAGGAGGTTCGTGAAGGATGCTACTGGGTAATTGGAGGCAGTCGCCCTTCAGCTTTAACGGAGGGCGGAGGAGCGACGCTCACAACAACGAGCGCGGAACGCAAGGCGGTTAAACCGCAGCAAGTTGGCGCAGTGGGGAGCGCAGTTGGTGCATCTGCCAGGCATCTCAGTCAGTCAACCCATGGCATTTGGGTTTGTTCCGTGACCTCCTGCACCTAGCCTGGCACAGTGGGAAGCACAGCTCGTGCATTAGCGAAGAGCATGATGATAATATATATGCGCTGTTTAATATCTCCTACGGCAAAATATTAAACTACAGTATTTAAAACTATTAACAATGTTTTTATTTAACCAGGTAAAACCCACTGAGCCATACTGTATAGTTCTTTTTCAGAAGCGACCTGGCCACAAATGATGGCTCAACGAAGTGGAATATCACGTGGAAATGTATAGCAGCCAAATACTTTAAATGCTCAATACGTGTTTCTAAATGTGGAGGGAAAACCGGAGGACCCGGAGAAAAATCCACACCACCACGGGGAAAGAGACGCAGGCGTCAGCGTCGGGATCGAACCCACAACCCCCTGTATACTAGGCGAGGTAGTTAACATCTCCTATCCATCGTGATGATGATGATGAGAGATGAAAACTCAAAATATACAGCAGGCGTCAACGTCGGGATCGAACCCACGACCCCCTGTATACCAGGCGAGGCGGTTAACATCTCCTAGCCACTGTGATGATGATGAGAGATGAAAACTCCAAATATACAGCAGACGTCAGCGTCGGGATCGAACCCACGACCCCCTGTATACCAGGCGAGGTAGTTAACATCTCCTCGCCACCGTGGCGCTCACACCGCGAGAAGCTCGCATGCGCTTGCAAGGCAAAACGAGATGCAGCACCGCTGCCAGGTCTGTATAGAGTTCATCCGTCTGCACTTCAATGGTAAGATTTACACACTTCACAGTAGCATTAGTAACGCGTCCAGCCATAACCATTCGCGTTTGTCAGCGTTGTGAACACGTGGGGTATTTGTTGTTTGTTATAGGGGGGTTTTACTGTCGTGGGATTTCGTGGTCGTGCTGTGTAACTCGTTCCGGTTTGGTGTCCCGGTTTCACCGCGAGTTTTTCGGCACGTTGTCCGACGGTTTAGCTACAGCCTTCAGGAAATTAATTTGGCATTTCACGCTTCGTACAGTATTTATAAACACGAGATGCTTCGTTCAGTTCCTGAAGAGGCTCCCCAGGACGTGGTGTGAAACGTCGGACATCGTGGGTGTATTAAGCATGAACTTATGCGCCGTCTGTTTCACTCACAGGGGACGTTAAAGTTCCCGTGACGCCAAACGCAAGTGGAGGGCCATTGTGCGCTGGGCGTCACGGTCCAAATTTGTATGAATTTGAAAAAATGTCTATACTCCATCGCATAATTACTCATTTGGAATCCACGTATCAATCATCGGCCCATAGCGAAAAAGAAAACGTGGCAGGACTTTCCTGAAACGGTAGTCAAGAGGTTCTCGTGAGTCAGGCTTCCCTGGAACACAGGCGGAACAGTAAAGTAAAACATGCTCCACTCCACGTGGCACGGCCAGAGAAGTCATCAGAGGGCGATGCTCACTCACACTTGGTGACTCCCCTGCACCACGCGGACACACTGCCCCATACGCAGCCTACCCACGATCCTCACGATTTGTCCCAATGGCAGCTACACCTGCAGGACGGTGCGAAATAAGTTCAACATACATACATGCAAAGCCGGAAACGAGAGTAAGAGTTCCATTCCCCGGCCACTGCTAACATGAGTTATCAGTGGCAAGAGATTCCTGCACCCGTCTTACCACCACCGCCACTTCACCGACCCGGAATGGCACCCGTATGGTGAAGTATGGTCAAACAACCCCCACGGACTGACGAACACACCGTGGGGACCCAGCCATGCATCCGGGCGGTGGTGGTGGTGGCGGCGACGGCTGTTTTTGTAATGCAGAAACTGTGGGGGCAGCAGCTATGGTTGGTGGATTACGGCACAGATGGGCTGTGAGACTCCCTTACAATGGGCGGCGTGGAGGTGCCGTGCCCTGGCTCGTCGGAAGGTAGTACAGCAAGTGGACTCATCGCCATCTGTTACGCGGAGAGTGTTATTGCCCCCCCCCCCCTCCGCTCAACGCGTGGAGTTTTCCCGGGTGCTCGGGTTTCTTTCCACTTGTTTAACATCAAAAACTCATCATCAATTGGCTGAAACATTTTTGTAAAAATTATATAAAACCCAAAGCAGCAGCAGCAGTGGCAGCAGGACCTTGCGTAAAAATAACCCTGACGACGACTCGAGTGCGGATTTCCTGGATAAATAACTAAATAATTATTCGTATTATCATTCTTACCCAGCAGCGGCTTGACAAAGGGTGCTGCTGCTGGCTTCTACCACACCCACCACAGACGCAAGGGTTAAGCACCATCACCACGTTTCCCCGCCCTCCTCCTCCCTCTTGCGGTCATGGTACATTCCTTCCCAGAGCCCGTGCCTCCGCCTCCCCGGCGCTACCTACTTAAGGCGACCCACGGGCGTGATGTTGCGCGTCTGTGCGCATCCCCGGCACGCCACGGAGACTCTGCGTGGTAGGGCGGTCGGGGTGCACAGACTCGCACGCTCGCTCCGTGCACAGGCAGTGGCTTCAACTCGGGCTGTGCTGAATCGGGGGTGGGGTTCGGGGGGGTTCGGAACGAGTTGGGACCCCTGAACAGCTGAGCAGAGCTGAGAGGAGCCGAGACCATGGACGCGAGACGCAGGAGCGTGGGAAGAGTGATCTTTGTGACCAGCGTGGGATCCTGTCTGCTCGTCATCTTCTACTTCCAAAGTATGTGTGTGGTGTGTGAGCGCGGTGGTGTGGGGGTGGGGGTGCTGTGTGAGTGTGGTGGTGTGTGGTGTGTGAGCGCGGTGGTGTGGGGGTGGGGGTGTTGTGGGTGTGGGGGTGCTGTGTGAGTGTGGTGTGTGTGGTGTGCACGGGGACTTTGTGTTCGTGTGTGGCGGGAGACCATGAGTGAGTGTGTGTGCGGGAAGGCGACTATGTGTGTGGTGTGTGTGGAGGTGACTTTGTGTGTGGTGTGCGTGTGTGTGGAGGAGGCTATGTGTGTGGGGTGTGTGTGATCATCGTGTGTGTGAGTGTAATTACGTGGTGTTGGCCACCCACTACCTCGTGTACCGTTCCGGCCTCTGTAGGTGCTCGCTAACAGCACTTGACCCACCAGTCTGTTGAGGCTATACGGGGTACATTTATCTTTGTCATGACGTGGGGAGCGGTCGTGTTGCGGTGCGAGCACCGCGCGATGAACACGACGACCCAAGTTCGATTCCCGCTCACGGCCACCAACAAACCAGTGACAATGATCTGAACCAGACCCTCCCCTAGGTCGACTCGGCCTCAAACCAGTACCTGGTGCGGTGTGTAAACATCGTCGCTGGGGAGACAAAGGCAGCCGGCGTGCTTCTAGGCACATCACACGCACTCGTGTGCCGTGCCACCTTTCATAGACGCTCGCGAACAGCACTTGCCCCAATAGTCGAGGATATACCGGTTATAGGATGTTGGTATTTGTAGTTATGTGTGTAGCGTGTTGCGGCGTCGTCTCTGTGTGTGTGTGTGCGTTGTGTTGGGTAGACTGTGTGCATGGTGTGATGTGAGCGTGTGTGGTGGTGTCATCATTGTCTTTGGTGTGTCAATGTGTCTTTTGGTGTGATCAATGTGTGTGTGGTCATCGTGTGCGCGCGTGTGACTGTGATATATCGCCGCGGACAGCAATCATTCGTGTAGTCATCGTGTGTGTGTGTGGTCAATAGCGTGGATCGCTGAGAGCACTTGCCCCAACAGTCTGTTAAGGCTATAGGGAGATCTTTGTCTTTTGTATCATATGGCGTGATTATAATTGGTGTGTGTGTGTGTTTAAATTGTATACACGGCTTGGTGCAAGTCCTCTGGCTGCTGCTGCGTTACGTCTCGATGGTTAAGCGAGCGTGCATTGATATGGAAGGGTGTACATGAATAAATATGTATTTAGAGTGGTCACCTTGAGTGTAATGGACGTGAAGTGTTAATGGTTGGTGTGTGTACCGTGTGGTTGCTGTGTGTACGTATCGGGTACGGTGGGATCACGTGTGTTCTGGGTATACTGTGATCTCAACGTATGTGAATACGAGTACCGGGTTGCGGTGTGTGGCGATTATCTGAACCGGTCCAGGGCCTCTCCTAGGTCGACTCGGCCTCAAATGAGTACCTGATGCGGTGTGTAAACATCGCCGCAGGGGTGCTGGCCACCCACCCCCTCGTGTGCCGTGCCGGCCTTCGTAGATGCTCGCTAACAGCACTTGCCCCTACAGTCTGTTGAAGGCTATACGGGGGATCTTTGTGTTTATCTTTTTATGTGGTAATTACATGCGTGCGTGTGTGTGTATATTACATAGTGCTGTAGGTGCTCGCTAACGGCACTTGCTCCCAAAGTGAGTTAAGGTTATACAGGGGTGGGGGGGGGGGGGGATCTTTGTCTTTACATAGTTGATCATGGCGGGGGGGGGGGGTCTTTATAACGCCTGTTGTCAGCGTGTGTGCGATAAGTGGGCTCTTGCTGCTGGTATAATCACACAACTCCTACACACGCACACGTGGGAGCGCGTGCTTGTCTACGGCTCCACGCGGACGGAGGCGCGCGCGCTGCTCGGGCTGGGCTGGCAGGGCTGCGCACAAGCGCGCAAATGACGACAGGAGACACCCAACGGGTGACCTTAGAATGAAAACAAGGTATTGGTACATGCCAGGCGACGTTTATCAGCACAGAGAGCGAAAGAGGTCAGCGACGCAGAGAGTTGATAGTTGTTTCATCATGGGACCTCCTTTGCCAGTGCCAAGATGTGAGAATAGGTTTTCTCCTTTTTTTGGCAATAAAATAGAAAGTCGTCTATGGTGCGGACCAATCAGTTTCAAGGACAATGCATATATTATCAGAGTGTTGTTTTTTGTTTGCATTCTGACCACAAGGTATTGTGGTTAATGCAGACATGATTCCTTGTAAAAAGTTTCAGTTTGGTGTTTTAACATCTCAAAACCTGTTTAGTTGCCAAAAAAAGGGGAAAACCTATTCTCATATTTTGGTAGTTGTCGTCTAACCCCTCTGGAATGTCTCTGTGGCGTGGAAAGCCGCGCAGTGGTTATTGTCGAATGTGTTGAGCGAGTAGTTTGTTATCTTTAGATCTCTCTAATATAACACACTCATAGGCTGTGGTTCAGTAGTCGCTGTGTGTGTGTGTTCCGTGTGGTCACATGCAGCACATACACATATCGCGTGATCGATGTGATGGTGATGATGATCGCTGGGTTGTGATCAAGCACGCACGTGCGTGGCCGCGACACCTGTACAGGGGTCTGCTCGTAAGTGGATTTGTTCCTAAGTCGATTTGCTCGTAAGTAGAGTATTCCCTGTACACCGTTTGCTCCCTGTAAATAATGACACGTAACGGATAAACACACACGCAGAAAGTGCATGGACCATCAACTATTTGAATGTGGTTTTTTTCTCTCATTGTACCGTAAACGATTCGACCTTCAAATGAGTACCTGGTGCGGTGTGTGGTAAACATCGCCACCGGGGAGACAAAGGCGGCCGGGCGTGGTGCTGGCCACCCACCACCTCGTGTGCCGCGTCGGCCTTCATAGGTGCTCCTCGCTAACAGCACTTGCCCCATCAATCTGTTTCGGCTGTACGGTGGATCTTCGTCTTTTGTCGTTGGAGACGAATTATTGGGGAGTGGTAGTGCAGCGCTTGGATGCACGGCACGCTACGAATCCGGCCTCCCGAGTTCAAAACCCATGGCACGGCTAACATCAGTGGCGATTATCTGCACTGGTAATGGGGAGGCCTCCTTCAGGGTGAACGCGTTGACCGCGTTAAACGCGTACCATTGCGCGGTGTGTAAATATCAATGTCATCATTGGGGAGACAAAGGCGGTCGGGCGTTGTGCTGGCCACCCCGTGCTGCCTTAATAGCGGCTTGCTAACGGCACTTGCCCCAACAGTCTATGTGAAGCTATACGGGGGTCTTTGTCTCTGTGTCTCTGTGTGTGTGCATGAATACGAATGTGTGACCGCAGATCTATTGTGCGTCTATGTGTACACATGTAAACTTTGTGTAGCTTTGTAAATCCCGGTGGGACAATTTACTATTGTACGAGTGTTTACGTGTGTACGATCCCTTGGCTATTGTATACAAGTTATTGTTTGTCCGTACTGGCACTATAGGTAGGATGTGTGTGTGTGTGTATGTGAGAAGAGGGGAGCGGTGGTGTAGCGGTTAGCGCGCTGCGCTATGAACCCGGCGACACGGGTTCGATTCCCGCTCACGGCCAACACCAGTGACGATTATGAACCGGTCCTGAGCCTCCCCTAGGTCGACTCAGCCTCAAATGAGTACCTGGTGCGGTGTGTAAACATCGCCACTGGGGAGACAAAGGCGGTCGGGCGTGGCTCTGGCCACCCACCCCCTCGTGTACAGTTCCGGCCTTTATTGGTGCTCGATGACAGCACTTGCCCCTACAGTCTGTTAAGGCTATATGGGGGATCTTTGCCTTGTTTGCTTTGTGAGAAGAGGAAGTGAAGACACATTGAGAAGGGCTGTGGTGGTGGTGCCAGCCGTGGAGATGCCACGGGAGGGAGTCGAGGGGGGGGGGAGGCTGATGGGGCACGGGACAAGATTCGGTGCAGCGAGATACGAGGACAGTGGTGGATGTGACACTAAATGACCACATGACCATTAGCCACTTCGTCGGGCCATCGTTTGTGATTAGCCAGGTCGCTTCTCAAATCGAGATGTACAGCTAAGTGGCCCTTACCTGCAAAAATAAAGTACTTTTTTTAAAGAAACTCTAGACGAGGCCCTGAAGAGAGAAGCTCGTGGAAGGAGCAAATCCGAGCAGCTGACCCTGTGCAACAATCACAAAGCCCTAAGGGGCCGTCCATAAATGACGTAACGCACCTACGGGGGGGGGGGCGGGTTGAGAAATGTGACGTCACATCAAAATGCGCAACTTTAAATGAATATAGACAACACGTTCTACTTAATTAAATAGACTTTTTAATAAATGTTTTCTCCTACAACATCAGAGTGCAGCGGCACATTAAATACGCACTACAATGGCAATAGTTTAAAGCGATTTGAAGCATGTTTTATTTGGGGGGGGGGGGCAGAGCTTTGTGACGTCATAATTGAGGGGGGGTCTGACTTTTTGTGACGCCGTGTGACGAGGGGGTCAAAAATCGTCCAAAACCGCGTGATGTCATTTATGGACGGCCCCTAATGGCCCAAATGTTGGCATAAAATGACCAAAACGTGGGCGAACCACGCAAACACAAATGATGGATCGACATGGGGAGCGACACGTGTGTGTGCGTACAGTGTGTGCGTACAGTGTGTGTGTGTGTGCCCTGTCCATCCAGTCACTCGGAATGCGTCCGGTCTCGTCAACATGCACGTTGGAACAAATCTTGAAGCTGAGAAGGGGTGGAGACACGGGGTCAAGTAGCCATCGTGGCGGGGGGGGGCTTAAGTCAAGTAGTGGGTATTGGGTCGGTGGGGGTGGCGGGGCTATGAAGGATGTGAGCCGTGGAACCATAAAAGTTATGGGCGAGTAGTTGCCCTGCTTGGCCCTCTGTCCCCACGCCGATGATTGCCGTGGCTGTTGCAGGCGTCGAGGCACAGGACTTCTTCTTAGACCTCCGCTCGTAAGTTTGCGCACGGCCAGCCATGCTCGCGGATGCATTAGCGGCGTTTAAGTTCGGCCGTCGGTTCGCATCAGGTTCTCGTGCGAGCTGA